CTGTCCGGCGACGATCTCGTATTTCTCCACTCTCCTCCACCCTCCTTCACGCCCGACCTCTCGTCTCCTCGTGGCATTTATTATTACGTTAGCGCGTGGCCCGCCAGTCAGTGGTGGGTTGCGATGTTGTAACGCATCGGGGGGTTTATAAAGGACACGTCCGCGGCAAAATGGGACGAACGGGGAGTTGTATGTCGATATATCGAAGCGGGACGCGCGGCTCTCTCTCTTCTCCTCGGAGAGCCGCGCGACCTCGGGAAAGGAGGCAGGGCCGGCGACACTCACCTGTAAAAGTACGAACAACCCCGGACGCTATTGTGGGAGAAGTGCTCCGCGTTCTTCTCGCTGCCGAAGTCCTCGAGGGGGTCCGACCAGAGGAGGTCGCACATCGGCCCGAACGCCGGCGGCTCTTTGAACCTGTCCAACTGCAACAGCGAGTCAATATTGATCGGATTAGCTCAAGGAATCAGCGAGCGAGCGAGCGCGCACATACGACACACGCGTATGCACTGGGAAAGAGATTTCTTCCGATTTCATCAAATTTCTCGCATCCGAACTAATTCGAACTAAACGTCGAACGTTGGCGTGCTCCGGAGAAAGTGATGTTTCGATTAATAAGTGCGATTGTTGGGCTTTTCAACCGAATACGTATCTTTATCTTAAATAAAAGATTCGTTCGAAAAGAAAGGTAATTTTCTTACAGAGAAATTATTTGTCTCACTTTACATATATTTATTGTAACCGAATCATATTTTCTATTCGGCTAAAAGATATCATTTCAAGTAACAGCGTTCTTTCCGTTAAATAATCGAGTTTTCTTGAATCAGACATACAATTAATACTCAAACAAAGAGCATACGTTGTTCTTATGAAAAACAAATTTTAGTCAAATTAATAGAAATACTAAATCTGAAGAAACCTTTTTCTCTGTACATACAAACAAACACACACGTATCTTTGAATATAATTATCCCGGCCATTGTTGCCGCAGTGAATTAACAGTGGGGTCAATGAAGCTACACTTTACATTCTCTGCGCCGCCCGCGGATTCTCATTCAGCCACGTAACGTCAAGTTACGTGCGCTCGTTTGTCGCGCGGCATTAATCGGTCGCCGCGGTTGGCACGCTCGATCCCGAGCGCGACAAACCGCCGACTCGTTCGCGTCGACATCGTCTTGACGGTTTCTCCGCGCTCGGAGAGAGATGCCCGTCAAAGCATCCGGACGTGAGATTGACGCGTACAGGTCGACACCTGCGATCGGCCAGCTCGCCGACGACACCGTAAATCGAGAGCGCGGCAAAGTCTCTCGGGGACGATGTTCGCCTGTTATGACAGCGGCAAACGGGACGCGTACAAGCCCGGGATCGGTTTGCAGATCGTGTTAATTAAACTACCGAGTCTGACGACAATGAGCTGATCGCAAATTTCTAAATGTCTATTGGCTGCCGGCGCCCTAAATCGCCCTAAGCCCCGAAATCCGATATTCAAAATGTCGTCGGGCACTAATCATCCTTGACACGCGCGCACCGACTGTTTCGCGCTTTCGAATCGATCAAATATGCAAAGGGAAGCCAAGAAAACGAGCGCGATCGAGGGCGAATGTATATAGTGTTGGATAATTCATGAAGCACCGCGCTTGTGTGTGAAGATAGAATTAAACTGAGAAAAGTCCTATACCATTTTGTACATTTAATTACGCGTAATTATGCGAAATTTCGACTTATTAATGATCGAAAATGGCCAGATACAGAGGCTTTTTTAATTAATAACTCGAAAATCTGCATGTTATTTGTAAAATAGTAAAAGACTTTTACCCAGAGCGGTTAATATAGAAGTATGTGACAAGTGTTGTACCTAGCGACAAATTCAAGGTTCGATATATCGATGTTTCTTGTTGGATACATAAACTTGTAGATTAGGCCGCTCTGGACGAAAAAGTCCTCTTTTCACGGAAAAAAAGTTTGGTTTGGAACTTACTAGATAGTGAACACAAACCAAACGGTGTTTTGGTTGAAGGAAACAGAATTTATAGTTATAAGAACCGAATTTGGGTCATAAGAAGCAGAAATTCTGTTTTCTTCGATGTTCCAAAACATGTTTGGTTCGTTCACTGTCTAGTAAATTCAACCAAACTTTTATCCGTGTTAGCATTTTACAAAGAACACGCGAATTTTAGAGTTATTAATTAAAAAAGTCTTTATTCACTGAGAAAAAGATGTCTTCAGATTTAATAAATTTTATTGCGTCGAAGTTTTATCATTAATATGTTTCAAAGAAATTAATATCGATTAAGAAAGTAATTTCGATTAATAAATACGATTGTTAGACTTTTTAACGAATATATATCTTTATCTTAAACAAAAATATTTGTTTGAAACGAAAGATAATTTTCTTATAAAGAAATTATTTGTTTCATTTTACATAATTATTGTAACCAGATAATATTTTATTTTGTTAAAAGATATTATTTCAAATAATAGCGTTCTTCCTGTTAAGTGATCGAGTTTTCTTGAATGAGACAATAAAATTTTCACTCAAATATTTCGTACAAATACATGTTGTTTCTATGAAACAAATTTTAGTCAAATAAATGGAAATACTAAATCTAAAGAAACCCTTCTCTTTGTGTATATGGCCTTTTCAATCATTAATAATAACTCGAAATTTTGCGTGTTGCTTGCAAAAATGATACAAGACTTTTTTGTCCGCCTCAATCCACGCCTTTGCAAAGTTTGTCCCTATTAATTTGATACGCCTTGCCTATACATGTATATATATATGTACCTGTACATGTATATATATATATATATATATATATATATATATGTGTGTGTGTGTGTGTGTGTGTGTGTGTGTGTGTGTGTGTGTGTGTGTACATATTATAAAATTCACTCGCCATGGCCTCGTCTCTCGATAAAATCGATCGCGATCTTCGAGGCTGCGTGGGAAAGACGGGAAATAATATTCAGCCGGTAAAGGGCTATTATACGCATTCGCCCGCATGTCCACGCAACGTCGCTTCTCACTTACCATCCGCGGGGACGATTATTTATTCGAGAGGGAGAGAGAAAGGCGGACAGCTCCGCGGAAAGACGAGAGAGAAAGAGCACAGAGACGGAGTATCGCGCTCCCCGTGTCATGAAGCATTCACAAACACGCCGCGGATTTATTCTTGGTCGGCGAAGTCCGGGAGCGCTCCCTCTCCCTCTTCCTCTCTCTTCTCTCGCGAATCGGTGTAAAGGCTGGAAACTTGGACGGTGAAGTTTCGCCGGTGCTACTGAGAGAGAGAGAGAGAGAGAGACTCGAGTTTTCAGAGAGTCGAGTGGATATCGAAGCGGGGAAGCGCGCAAAGAGACAGACCGCCGCCACTGCTGCTGCGCACTCCTCACGAGCCCCCAAATATTTGCTCGGTTGATCTAATCTTGGCGAGAAAAGTTCGCTGATCCGCCCCGTCCTGCGCGCGGCCGCCTCCTTCGGAAATCGCATTTAATGACTTTCATGAATATGAATGGAACGGAATCGCGCGACAGATGGAAGAGAGAAAGAGAGAGAGAGAGAGAGGGGTGTTGCTTCGTGCGTAACGCAAACGACGTGTTCCAGTCGTTGCGTCGTGGCGAGCGCACGCGTTCTTTTCCCGCGTGAGGGAGAGGGGGAGAGAGAGAGAGAGAGAGAGAGGTACGACTAACGCTAATGGAATATTCCGAGAGACGAGAATTGCATTTGCGCGATGAATTCACGCGCCTCATTTATTTCTTTCCGAGAGGATTGCCATTCTCCTGCGTGGAAAATATAAATAAATTTGTTCTCTTTCTCTAAGCAAGATACATCTGAGTTTCAGAGAAAGACGTGCACGTGTACGTATGCCGTTGCGATTCGATATCACCACGCGCGCTTTTTCCCATCGGCTTTATGAAAAGTAAACTTTTTTTTTTAATTTTCGACGAGACGCAGCCGCTCGAAATAATACCGGCTGCCCTGCGCTGCGCGCGCGGGAGTAATCCCAAGCGCAAGTGTTAAAACCGGCGGCATTCGCGTGCGTTCGCCAAATATTTAAACGAGATCAATAGTGCATTGTTAACGTGACGCGTCACTCGATGTGACAATGTAAAATGCATCGCGCTATAGCGCGGCGTATCAGTATTCATAGAATATTTAATGAACGGCCGAGTTATGCGCGGTGACGGTTTTAAGTTACCGGCGACGAGAGTTCGCGGCGTCGCGCGCTTTCTTAAATTCGTCGCGCACGTAGAGAAGGAGGAGGGGGAAGAGGAAGAGGAGAGTAAGTCCCGCTGGCCCCTCGCGGCGTATTATCGACGACGTGGCTGATAACGCTCCGTCTTTTAATATCAGCCGAGAAGCGAGAGAAAGGTTCGTTGCAGACGTGATCCTCGTTGCCGCTCGACAACGAGTGACACATAACAGGTAGCGTAATTACCTTGAACGGCATTGGTTCGCAACATGTTTCCGCATGTGTGCATTTACACGCGCGCGTGCGCACGCGAGCGAACGGGCGAGACGAACACGCGTCGCGGGCGATTATTACGACATAACGAACAGTTGGCGTTCGATAATGACAGAAGCTGCATTAAGTGAAGTGCAAACTTTACGTCTCTCTCTCTCTCTCTCTCTCTCTCTCTCTCTCTCTCTCTCTCTCTCNTCTCTCTCTCTCTCTCTCTCTCTCTCTCTCTCTCTCTCTCTTCCTTTATGGATCGTGTTCGCCGTCTTTACACTGAGAAAAAATTCAAAAATTTACTTGCAATATAAGGTTGATTTTTTCAGAAATAAACGTTTATTTAAATACGACGAAATAAAATTTTATACCTGATAAATAAACTAACTAACAAGATAACTTAAGTATATTTCGCAAAAATATATATTCCGTCATGACAGTTAAATTGTTTTCGATAAGTATGGAAGACAATGTCGCAGGAAAGATTTACTTTGCAAACTTTCAATTTCTTTTTCTCAGTGTACAATTACTCGCGATAGCACGCGTTGGTCCTTGGATCTCTCTCTCTCCAACTCTCTCTCTCTCTCTCTCTCTCTCTCGCTCTGCCTCCTTCCTCGCTTCGCCGCTTTTCACACGTCGTATGGACTGACTTAAATTTAATAATGGATAGAGATGAATTTATACGACACACATTTAAACGCGCGACATACGACGAAATCCAGTTACACACGGTCGAGTCGAGTCTCTAAATGGAATTTCGCACGCACGCAGTGCGGAAGAGGGGCAGGGATCTATAATGAATTATAAAATGTTTAATTGTCACGTGCGTCGCGAACTAGTTTCGATTCGCGATTGCCTGAGACAGAAAACGCAGGCGGACGCTAATTCGCTCTCCAATTCACCTCGAGCACACACACACACACACACACGACGAGCGATTTCTTAATCTCCCGCTTATACGACGGTTCATCTAA